ATCTGTAGGCACCTGATCGACAATGTCGGGCAAATCTGTAGGCACCTTTAACTTAATGATGAGTTAAGCAAGATACAATTTCCCCACTTTTGAGGGAAATGTTATTCCATGGCATCATTATTTGTATATTTGTGTGCGTGCCGACGAGCGTAGTTACAAGTTGCTTACGCCTACATGAATTTGGTTTTTGCCTCACTTGTGACAGTTCGTTTGATATGAAACAATCATTCTACGCGTTATTATTCTAAGGCTCTAAGGTTAATATTATGGATATCTTCTTTCTTACTGAAATTATGTATATTTTTATATTTATTGTGTTTGGTGCCTGGGCGAACTCTTTCACAAGGAATTCTACTGCTACTAAGTATTTATTGAGGCTCCGTCATAGACATACGGCTGTTGTCCTTTAGTGTATAGTACCTATATGTGAGCTTATTTATCAATAGTTAATTATACTCAATGCACTATCTAGTCTATAAATAGCATTGACTACTACTGTAATTTTATGACAAAGCAAATATATGGTAAGTGGCTGATGGTTCCAATAAACGACAAATCAGACAATAGGTACTTGATTTTGTTTGATATAGGATTAACTGACAAAAGATATTACGTATTTTGTCCTTCATTATATCCGTGCTGGAGATAACTTTTTATAAAAAAAACCGACTTTAAAAATTTGTGGAATTACATCTAATTATAAAGTTTTATGAAATCTGTTAACGGAAAGTGGGTGAAATCCAATAGATTTGATTCATCACCTGACTCACCACCCTTGGAGGTGGAACATTTTCTTAAAATTTGAATGGGATTGCCATTGAAGTACCCCCTTTCCAAAAAAAAAGAATCATCGACAATCACATACAGAAATGTTGAAGTAATCGCGTTACGTAAATACACAGAAAAATATACCAATTCTAAAACCAATGCCTCTGCAATACTAAAGTCTCAATTTATATGTATTCTTTATTGCACCAAACAAATACATCAGAAATTATAATTTAACAGAAGGTAACAAAAGGCAGACTTATCTCTAAAAGAGATCTCTTCCAGCCAACCGTGAAAAGTTAATACATAGCTGTTAAGGTTTACAGTTTCAGTTTAGGGTTTTAAGGTTTTTTCATCGCTGCGGAACGGATATGAAGTGAATTTTTGTACCTAATCATAGCGTAATAAAGTTTATGTGAATTGTGTAAGGTATAAACTGGACACGATACGGTAAATGTGGGAATTTCGGAAACTGTGCGAGAATTCTCCGGAAGACTAGAGACCTGTTTTTTGGCTCGTATCTAGTTTGTACGTTACAGAGTTGACATAAAGCTCATTATGCTAGGGTTACAAAAATTATCTTCGGTCCAAACAGTCACAATTTAGGACATGATAAATACAAACACTTAGTTAGTTAGGTTAGGTTAGTAATACTTAATAATGATAATGTGCCATTCAACCACACTAATTGCCTGCCTCTCGAACTAGAAAATTCCCCGTACATTTTGATGGAATGTGTTCGGGCCGAGTGACTCGGGAGACAGTTGGGCAGTGTGGCCACCACATGACAGACTAGGTGGTGTAGCAACATTACGGATCGACATTACCATCTTATCTATTACTGCTTATTATAACTTATTAAATTCTTATTATAACTACCTCTGTGGCCGAACGGCTACCTTCCTGGACTGCCACGCAGAGGTCTCAGATTCGATTCCCGGGCCGGGAGAAATATTTGTATGGCCTACATTTATTTCTCTCATGAGTTTGGGTGTACTTTGTGGTTGTCTATGTGTGTGTCCATGGCACACGCGATACAGGGTTTCCCTAGTGCGGGGCTATGTTGGGTGTGTGCGTTATTATTATATTATTATTATTTCTGCTGGCAATCAGTAATGTGAGCATTACTGCGTTCCGGTTTACAAAGATAAGAGTACTATGAAATTACAGGCACATGGGACTTGTTAACTTATGTCTCAGGTGACGGGCGCAGTGGTAAAGATAAGATCTTTGCGATTTGAAGCTCTGAGTGGCACTGCAACTGTTATGGATAGGTGTGTCGCTTACCAACAAGCGCACGAAATGTTCATCCCGTCACTTGGTATTATAAAAAAAAATTGGTCTACCGGGAATCGAACCTGGGATCTCAGTAATAGTTCACCACAATGACATCACCAATCCTTTTTGAAATAACTATAAATATCACCTTAAATGAGAAACAAAAAACAATTAATAAAATAATAACTTACGGGATAGTTGTCAGGATCGTCGCCGGTATTCTGATGATAGACCAACTTCAATGCCTTCAAGGCGTCATCGTAATCGCCGACCTCCATCATGAATTTAGGGCTCTCGGGGAAGCTAAAGAGCCAGAATCCGAGCATAAGTGAGGGTACACCACACGCAGCCACGAACCAGTTCCATGAATCGTAGGAGAACCAACCACTCTCTATGCGGATGCCCGTGATGGGGATGATGGCCCACGCAATCACTGTTTAATAAAACTGTAATGAATCACCGTCTCACAGACAATCAATTGAGGTGGAGCCTTTCTACAATGTAAGCCGGCTTTAGGGGAGCTGGTTCCGTTTTCGCGACATCCTTGATTCCATGTAACACTATTTCAGTCTGAGTGTTTTCGAAACTTCCTTAATCATGCTTCTTTAAATTCGTACCCTTGGATTAGTAAGGGCGCGTTCCCATTAAGTCGCAGGGGTTTCCCTCTCACGGTATACACTTTGTTCAAATATCGAACAGAACAAGGTCCGTCTGTGTGTTACATCTATTAAATTTCACTACATTAGTTTGAATCACAATAATTTTGTTGTAGATATCAGTGAAGTTACAACACAAAATTGAGTGCACAGATTGAGTCATTTATTTTTATTTTTATTGATAAACAGACAAAATCCTTATACTTCTTAAAATTATGATGACATGAATTATGGTTGTTTACCATTGTTTTTAAAATATTTTCTTATTATTCAATTTACTGAAATTCCTTTTATTTACAATGATGGTTATTTACGTATAACGTTAAACAATTTATGCGAATTTATTTATCGTTGGACGACTGTCGCGTCTAGTCTGTTCCCATATCGTGTCGTGGACGTTCATTTTATTGTTGTACGACTGTCGTGTCTAGTGTTCCCACTAGTGACGACAATTTATCGATTCACGGCAGCCGCCTAGTGGTTTGCACGGCAGAATCGTTTGAACCTGCGATTGTCTGTCATTACATTTTTATCGTAACGTTTTATTTATCGTCGAACGACTGTCGTTCTAGCTCTTCCCATTGTCACGACAGTCTGTCGTCGTCACGTCAAAAATGTCGTGAACTACAGTTAATTGTGGTGTACTATTATGTAAATAATTTCATTTAAATATACTAGCCACGACACTTTAAAGTGCACGACTATCTGTCGTCACGACATAATGGGAGCGCGCCCTAAGGGCACATTTGATCAATGATCATACATAACAAAAGTTAAACCTCTCTTGTGAAAAGTAGCCTTTTTGCAGAAGTAGCCTTATTATACCACGGGTGGGAATCGTGCTAAAGTGGTTTATTTGTCATAATCCCGTCATGAATATCTTTTATACTGAATTTTGCTATAACATAATCAAATTGTGTTAATAGTTTTTGGTATTTGTTTTTAGTGGAGCTGCAAAATGTTTTTAACATCATTGAAATAATGAACTCTAAATTAGAATTTTTTTATAGGTGATTTAAAAAACGAATTCTAATACTCACAAGGCAGGATGATAACTCCGAGGGTCCAGAACATTTCCATCCAACAGAGGATCTTCTCTCTGTACTTGGTCGCCTGGAATTCTCCGAGATACGGGAAGCAGATGCCCATGGCGCCGGCCACTCTGAAGGCATACACATCAGGTAAGAATTATGCTTACATCTTTCTGTGCTCCGACTTTAAGGCTATCATGAAATAACTTACAAATTAAGCATAAACTTTCTATAACGAATTTTGGTTTATGTTCTTCTATAAACAGAGTTATTAAACAATTTATTTAAAGTTACGAATCTCTACATCTTTCGTGACCCGCTAGCTACCTTTAAAAACAAAATAAAAAATCTTTTTATTCAAAATTTTGACTGACCACTTTGTACCACATTACTCAGGTATTTAAAATTTTATTGTAACGTCGCTACGTTACAATAGAATTTTATTTTATGTTTACTTTTTCTTTTTTAATTGTAGAGATAATTGTAATTATTATTATAAAGTGTAATTGAATAATTAATTTTCATACATTCTTGAATCTGTATAGCGTATTGTCTTTGCCAGTAAATATGGTATATACATTTAAACTTTGTAACTGTAATGAATTATAATTGCTATTGTAGTTTTTGCATTGTGTTAGCTTTCTTACATAATATATAAATAAATAAACTCTTGCATAAGTCTCATGCTAATACCCAGGCTTGAAGAATTAAAAAAAGAGGTATCTAAATCATAAAAGTTTTACAAACGGTAACTTTATAAACTTGTGAACGGTAAAAGCCCAGTAGGAGAACGGTTGCTTTTTATTTGAAGTGTCCAAGACTGGAATCCCTGCGGCATGTCACTTTAATTTCTTTAACTTTGAGCAAGCAAGCTCAAAGAGCTAGCACGAAAAGTTCGTGCACCTGTTAAATCTGGATGTCGAAGAAGATTCACAACTTATGATGTTCTCAGCCCCAATTGGGACAGCATGGCGGCCTAAGCCTAAGTCGTTAAAGGAAACTCATACCCTGCAGTTGGCCTAGATTGATTATGATGTACGCTATGTAAGGTACAGTACAGTACGTGACAGTTTCTGTAACCATAGGTGTGCTCACTAGACCTAAGACTTTAGCGAGTACATACAGAATATTCCGAGTTAATCGTTCGATTCAAATTCAGATACAATATCGTTATCCAACAGCGCTTACGGAGTTAGTCGGTGAAATACATTATTAGAAAAATTAAAATCCTTTTATATACATTTTTAAGACTTTAAAGGCCTACAATTTAGGAATGGATAAGTCTTGCGTTAAAATAAATTAATAAAATTGAACAAAATCCAGATTTTATTTAAAACACTAAGAGATTTCCATAGGTACTTCATTCTTGCTTTGTAAACAATTGGACGTTCGGTAATTTTCTCCTTTGCCGGTCGAAAAGTTCAAGTAATCGTACGGGTGTGACGTCATTTCGGTTCGGTTTCGAATAGGATAGTTTCGCGTTCGATTCGGGTGTTCTGACAATATCAAAATATTTTATGATGCTGCATAATACATGTTCTTTATGATACCAAGTGATGGGAAGAACCAGTCGTAGGTACTTGTTACGCCTGGTGGTAAGAGACGCGCCTGCCATAACAGTTACGTGTGCCATTCAAAGCTTTAAAGATCTGAGGGGACACTGTCACTGTGCCCGTCACTCTTAAACATGAATTTAACAAGTCCCATGTGCCTGTAATTTCACCAGCACCCTTACTCTTTCCAACCGGAACACAAGTAATATTCACATTTCTGCTTGGCGGCAGAAATAGGTAAGGTGCAAGTACTTCCATGGACGAACTCTTTCACAAGGAGCTGGAACTCCTTATATGGTAATGCCTGTTCGTAATGCTGATTAATTTATTCATGTAACCTACAAAGAGTCTTAAATATGTACTTTGTGCAGTATCTTAGTTTCGTTCGACAAAGTAACGGCCAATATATTGTTACACCACCCAGTCTGTCATGTGCTGGCCACACTGCCCAACTATCTCCCGAGTCACTCGGCCCGAACATATTCCATTAAAATGTACTGGGAATTCCCTGGTTCGAGAAGCAGGCGATTAGTGTGGCACATTATAGGCAAGATGGCAATACTCCCCTGAACGAACTCTTTAAAAACGAACTCTATTGCTACTAATATTTTAAGGTATACATATTTTTTAGGTTAGCATCGTAATAATATCTCTGTAGAATGTAGGTAGGTATAAATTTTCTTCTTTTTCTACAATAGCGATATTAAATTCGATCTTTCGCCGAGTTGGTTTTTCAAGAAAATCTGTTAGGAATTAATTTTAATACTTCGGAACTTCGTTCGAACCACTTTTGTACACAGCTGCCTTTTTATAATAAAAAAACGCTGAGTAATTTTGTAAAGTATTCTAAATAATAACTTGTCAACATAACCAAAAGTTGAAATTTTTATACGGGTTAAAATTATTTGATCCTCAAATAAATAATTGATCTATTGTAAATGTGCACTTTTTGAATAAACGATATTTTTAATATGTTTCATATATTAATTGTTCCATCTATCAATTTTTGTTCTACGGATAAAATTATCAATGAACTGCATGCAAGGTAACAAGTAATAAATTCATATTTAGTATTCAGAAATAATATCTGATCCTCTTTTTCTATCATTGGTCTTTTCTTTTAACGATTGATGACAATAACTAGTATATTTTTGGATATTGATCTCCTAATAAATCTTTGTTGTTTGGTTGCGCCTCCATTCAGTAGGTTAGGTTAGTATATGAAAAAGCAGGTAACTTGCTTGCGTTTCTGAACATGCTTTCAGGTCAAATTATATAATATTAGCATACAAATATAATCAACACTTACTTAGTTTTAAAAATAAGTTTCAATTGTATTTAAATTTTGAATGAATTGATGTTTAATTATTTTTATTTTTTCTGAGAGTTCATAACAAACTAGTGGAGTAATTTCACATAAAAATAATTGAATATCAATTCAATAAAAATGACAATGAATAGCGACATCTCTAGCCGGGGCTGGTATCTGTAAAGGTATCTAACTGGGTGACGAAATATCATAGATTTCTCATAGAACAACTTTTTAGCCGTAGCGCCATGGCTAAAAAGTCGTTGTAAAAACCGAATGCACATATACGACGCTAGCACATAGAAAAATTCGTGAGGTATGCTGGTTCGTTCCGTGGCTTAGTTGGTATAGCATCTGACACGGTATGCCAGAAGACGTCGCTTCGAATCAGGCCGGATTTTTTCTGAGTGTTCGATCTTTGTATTAATAATTATAAGTATCATTTGTCTTAGTTTTGAGGTCCAACATGAAACTATCATAGTTAATTTATACTAATCAAACATTTTTTGCGTAGCTCAGAACAGATTAAAATATCGATCGATTTAATTTATTTTATGTCTCAGAGAAAGAGGATCAATCATTAAAAAAGATGACCGTTTAGAATTTTTTGCCTGCTGCTTTTGCAAACTTAAAAAGATCGTTTAAATACATGCCATTTTATATATATCTGAAAGATTAGCGTTGGCAAACGTTTGTTTATATGTTTTCTTATCATTCAATAAAAACTAATCATACTAGCATTTATAAGTAGTTAGTATAGTCAGCTGTGACGAGATTTTCCCGCAACTGCTGATTGCTCTCGTGACGACACTTATTGACACTCGTTAATTCGTGGGAACATTCCTCATAATCCTTGCTATATTATTTGTTTGTTGTTCTTTAACTATGGGATATTCACTAATATTCCATCATGTCATCTTTATATTCGTCATGTACTTACTCCTCTTCGACTAAACCTTATCCAATTTGACTTAAATTGTTACTGATGTTTGCTCTCATTATTTTTGTTACAGGAGTAAATAGGAAGAGGCATAACTTTGTTTATAGGGGAATTTTTGTAGCATTAGAGCACTTTTTGAAAGGGTTCGTCTAGGGAAGTATTGCCACTGTACCTATTTCTGCCGCCAAGCAGTAATGTGAGCAGGGATGCAGGTGCTGATGAATGAAAAACATATACAAGGCACTTAATATTGTGTTTGATACAAATAAACTTTTTGTCAGGGTGCAGTGACAGTGCCTCTAAAATTTTTGCGATTTAATTGCTCTGAGTACCACTGCAACTGCTATGAGTGGAGTGTCACTTATCATGTTATTTGTTTGTTGTCAAAATCTTAATAATTTTTGAAATAAGTAAAACATTTCTATTGCACTTTTGTAAATTAATCTGTGCACCTAGTATACATTTTAAACGTTAACTAATAAATAGTTTTATGCCAGCTGACAGTCGTGGGAAAATGGCAATTAGAACCGATACACCGATAGCATCGAATTGTATATCAACACGTTGGATGCGTTCGAAACACGTGCTAATCCATTGTTCAGAACCGACTGAACACTGAATAGCTTTTTATAATCGTTAATTGACGATGTAGCTGTTAACGTGTTGGTCATTGTACCAGTCACATGTTTCATCTCACAACGATGAGAGCATTTCTAGAGGTTTGTTAATATACAGCGAAATATATGCGGGTACAGTTCGAATATGGTATATTTCGATGTACATCGAACGACACGGGTTCACTCTAATCTACAAGGGGTAAAATATAGCGGGGGTCCAAGGGAGTGGATTACGTTTATTTTATTCGATAAGATACAGCAACAGATTACAGATCAGAATATTGATCAACAAAAACTATTCTATCCATTAATGAATGTTAACCTGCAATCTAATTATAGTTATATACAACACTTTAGTAAAAACATTAGACCTCAGTACCTAGAAGACATTATTAAAATATGCTTAAGAAATAAAAAAAAGAATAAAAGATATAAAAACAAAATGCTTACGTAACGAAATTATGGTGGTGGATTCGAACGTAGGAGATTTCTAAAACGGTTATAACTACCAACAAACAACAAATAATGGTCAGAACAGATATCATTGTAATATCTACACATTCTGGATACGGGTCTCGAGACATTGTTGTTGATGTAGGCCGATGTATGTATACCTGCCTATCCAAAATTTTGTCTTTCCATATCACAGTAGATTTTCTTACATATACGAATTACCTATGAAGTAAACATTTCACAATAAACAAGATATGGAGCTATATTCGGTTACATAAATGTATAAAACTTAACATGTATTATTTTTTTTAAAGTTTTTCACATTACAGTCAAAGTTATCAAAGTTTGTTAGCTGTCAAAGACACATTCAAAGTTCATGAGTTTGCTCAAAATTCCATATTAGGGGGACAATGTAAAACATAAAATAAGGTCGTGGTCGAGACATTCAGTTTAGGAGCCTCTGGTGTACATTGATAGATTTCGCGAACCCTATAAATATAAACCTATTAAAGATAAGATATGTGTTTAGTACATACAAGATGCGACCGACCTCTTTCATCGTCCTTCTACCTTTTAATCGCCCTTTTCTCTGGTTCCTGGCCACTTACTTTTGAAATTTTGAATCGTTCTCTAATTCTTTTTCGTTCTTATTTCAACGTGTCCTTTAATCATGTAAACCTAATTGCTTATAAAGCAGCAATATATATACGAATACAGGCCTATTTGGAGTAAGTGTCTACTTTATAATCACCCATAAGCACATCCGTATGTAATTTAAGTTAGGGAGAGTTTTATAAGTATTGTACCTAACGACTTCAATCTATTGACAAGAACATTCACAGCAACTATAGGTTCCAAAACAAAAAACATAACACAGTCACTTTTGATAGGGTTTTGTTTTAGTGTTGCATTTTGTCGAAGAGTATATATACCACAATACCGTAGTACCTTGAATTGACGTAACAGTCTCTATACCTTTTGGGAATGAGCTAGAGGCAGATCATATTGAGTGTTTACCAATAATATTTATCCATAATTGGGAATATTTAATTTTATTTTGCTTTAGACCCAGGGGTCTTCCGCTTCCTATTTATAATTATTATATTACTAAAAAGAAAAACATATTAAGTAAAAGAAAAAATACAGTCGAGTTTTTAATTAATAAATATATAAATAATAAAATAAATTATTGATGTTGTGTTATGTACTTTTATTTGCTGAAATGCAAAGATCTTTAGACCATGCAGCCTAGTCAAGAACATAGATGTCCTTGAGCCTAGTCTTTTTTTATATTTTTTAAATGTAATTAGGTGGTAACCTTAGTAATTATTATGATCATATTATACGTACTCTGTTATTGTGTAGTCAGAACACTCTGTTTCTTATTTCGATTTATGTTTTGTCTTGTTTTAACACATGCAAATCGAGATGGATAGTGTGCAATTTTGTATACTATGTCGCGATGATCAAATATTACAACGCACAAATTAATCAAAAACCACAATATTACTTACCGAATTAATGTAAGTAATTTCATATATTCATACAATAAGTCAAATAGCGAAATGTGAGCAATACAGCGATGTAAATTAATTTTCAAAGATGATCGCGTATGCGTCCGCCATCTTGGATGTTTGAGAACCAACTAAATTATGTGCAGCTTCTTCACCGTACATCAGTGAAACACATCGTGTGTATGGAACGTCGCATCTAGTACGCTAGTACACAGATATCGTTGATTCCTTCCCCTTTCCTTACCTTTTCTTTATTTCTACCTCTACAATAAAAATCTTGCAATAAAAATTATGTGGACCAAGCCTTCTCTTCAATTTAGCGAAGGCTAGGCTATCTATCTGAACCAATTCGAGATATCTGCGAACACGGTAGTGTAATTACGGCCTGCATTCCTGCAAATACAGGAGTATCTACATTTCAGTAACGATGGTTACAATGTGGGCCAGTTCGAGTCTGGCACACATTGTAGCTGTCATTACGGAATCGTTGTTAACAACGCAGTTCGATCTTCATTAGGATTAACCCTAGTTGTAAAACATATAAGTAAATAACTTACGCAAAGCCGTTGACGAACCGGCAAGCCATGAAGATGGGCAGGATCTGGACGAACGAGGACAAGATGCCGATGAAACCGTCAAGCAGCAGTGTGGAGACCAGCACTATCTTGCGGCCTTTCGTATCAGCCAGGCAACCCCAGAAGTATGAACCGATTACCATACCTGAACACAGATTGAATGTGATATTATTATAAATGTTTTTTTTTTGGCTAAAGGATACAATCGCTATCTTAAACTACGTAAGAACTAAATTAAAACAACTAAATTAATTAAAACTACGGAAGAAAGTTTCAGAACACCCACATCAGAACAAATTTAGAAAAGCTCATTTCTCAAATTGGTCATACCAGGAATCGAACCAGGGACATCCACATCCAACGCTTACAGTACAAACCGTTAGGCTACTGTGGTATTCTGTTGTCATTGAATTAATATAACGTTGTTTACATCCAGGTGAACCGACCAGGTGGTCCACGGGCATGAAGCGCGTTGTCTTAATTACACAAAATAGATTTTGACAGTTCATAGCGGCCACGGTGTTGAGGTTGCTTTTGTCAAATCTGCCATTTATTTCAAGACAAAATCATCATGGCAAGTTACAGCGTCCAGCAACACGTGCAAATGACAAAAATTGATTATCAAAATGGATGTTCTATTGTTTCAAAGATACGCGTATTGCGCCCATTTTACGGTTTACGTGGTCGTCCTTCTTAGTCGACTATTCAAAGTTTGGTAGCCAAATTCGATTCGACGCAAAATCTGCCGAAAACATCGCCACTGTTCGTGGGAGACCCGAGACAGGCTATAAGGCTCGCATCATTGCCACAATAGAACACCCATTTTCATAATAAATGTTTATCATTCTCACGTGTTGCTCGACGCTGTAACCTGCTATGATGATCTGTCTTTAGTGAGTAAATAATAAACAACAGTTTTGATAAAAGTAACCTCTTCTACATGGACACTATTAACTAGTGTTAACTATCAAAATCTATCCGTCCTTGATGGAAAAGTCCGTACATGTATGTACAAAGACGAAGAAACCCATTTCCCAAGTCCTAAATTTTCTAGAGACAATAGTTTCTTTGTTCAGCTAAAATGTTTGTTTTTCTCAAAAAAAGACGTAACGTTAAAACCTGCGCTTGAGTAAACACTAGAGGAAATTTTCTGAATTTCACCTTGTTATTGGCATTGAAATCTCGGCTTTACTACAACTAATTTAAGCAGAACTCTGTTACTTAGAAAACATCGTATCTTGTAAAGAAAAAACATTTACAATCGCTTTAATTTAGAGCTCTTCTTACAGTAGCAATTCTTAGCCCGCACTTCGGAATTAGCGTGAACTTATATGTAGGTATTGTGTGGCCCATTGGTTCTACACATGTTAAAATCAGGTGTTCTATGCTCATTAGTTTAGTTTAATCTTCAAGTTTTTCAATTTTTTATGTCAATAATAAACTTTTCGTATCCGAGAGTTTTTTCACTGATGTTAAAACTACCTATTTTAAGACTTCAATTCGTACTTGACATTAATCGATATTGATATAGGGTGCATGAAAAGAGCCTCCCCGTATGACGTACCATTCTTTTCTGTACGCCTGACGCGTTCGGGGTCAGCGAGTACTTTATGCCTATTGGCAAATTCTTTTACCACGATGGTAAGCATACCACGTGTATGCCATCGATACGCTAAGAAGAAGAAAAAAAATACCGATAGAAATTTTATTAGTTAAAAAGATACCACGTACCAACCGTACCACCACGACTCCATGAGAATCATACGGAAAAGAGTTAAGAGACGATACTACCTTAGTTCGAATTCAAATTTTTCCTTTATTAATACAGTTAATTTGCCTTGAGTTGAGCGGTAGCGACGCGGGCTTTATTTCAAAATTTATTTATTTGCAAACGGCTTTAATTTCGTTTCAAAAATATATATCGTATACTTATTTGTTCTATTTAGTCCAGTTGATATAAAAAAAACATTCGTAAATGTAAATACTGAATATAACAGTTTTCTGGTGAAATTTCGAGGTAAGTTTGTTTTCTTTTCTATCACGAAATTTTTTAGGTATCCTGTTTTCACACCGTATAGTAATCAGGGTGTACATGGTGTACACCCTCAATTTTACTTATATCTTTTTCAAAGTGATTGATACAACAACTTTCATTGTTATGCTTACTCTTAAGAAATGATACTATTTTTTCGAATATTAATTCAGTATATTTGTTTTTATTTTTCAAACAAACCACCGTTTCGGGCCCTTTACGGGTCATATAGTCTCAACTGACTCAGCCGTGATATATTACAGTTTCATTACACATAGGAATGTGTAACAATCGCGAAAACCTAGAACTCGATGACAAACACTTATTTTAATCGTTCATTAATTTTAGATATAATACATTTTATGATACAGATATTTTTGGTATCTTTGAACAGATCCACAACAAACTATTAAGTATTAATGATGCGGCTTAGTGGCCTAGGCCAGGCATAGTCTTCCTGCGAAGCTTTTTATTTTCCAGGGGAAAATCCGTCGTGAATACCACCGCGTCCACTGTGTGAGACTCTTACTCACTAAAAAACCGGGGCTGTGGCCACGTGGTTTACGATCCACGGCCTCGTCTGCGGTTGTCCGCCACCGAGGACCCACCCCTGGGGATCACCATTCCCCCTCCGTCGTTAGTGGTATGCCTCCCAGGGTTCACTCTCAGGGCGGCAGTTGGCGGGCATAAGCCAGCCGCCTGCGCCCCAAGCGTTTGCGGCGCATAGGATGAGAGGAAGTCTTCCTCTCGCTCCCGTTCCGCTGCCTCCTTCCACGATATTGCATCAGTGCAGAAAGAGGTCACCGCACTCCACGCCGTCTCGCTACCGATCATAGATCGAACCACGGTTGGCAGGGAGAGGTCGTGTCCTACAAACTATTAAGTAGTAATGATGCGGCTTAGTGGCCTAGTTGGCAGAGTTTTCCAGCGAAACCTAGGGTTGCGAATTCATATCCCGGTTAATTAGAGTTCTAAGTACAAAGCTTAAACATCTATGATTTAATTAATCTTTTTTGGTTCAAAATATGTCTATTTTCTTCTTAAATCTATAAGCCATATTAGTCTATGTTATTACCATTTAAGTGTAGTATTAGATACTCATCCCAAAATAAATAGAAAAAAATACATACCTAACATAGGAGCGGCAGTAAGCCATCCCTTATCAGCAGATGTCATGCGAAAATCGCACGTCGCAGATGGCAATACGAACGATACGATGGTGATGCCGATGGCCGTGTTTGCATAGATCAACCCCGTGATGGCCAGTAGGCAGAAGTGGAACCGGCCAAAACCTGACAATCAGACAACATTGTAATTCAACAAGTAACCGGAAAGGTTAAGCACGTACGGTCAATTGAAAGGAAACAAAATGAAATTCGTCATTGTCAATTTGTTATTGAAATATAGGTAATACTGATTTAAAGTGTACTTAGAAAGGGACTGTGGACGGAAATATAATAGTAATAATAACAGTTAACCTGTACATAGTCCCACTGCGGGACACAGGCCGCCTCTTTTTAATTCCAACTTACAACTTATAGATTTAAATTTTCAACAAGGACATAATGGTAATGATGTTTATATACTAGTTTCAAATTGCATAATAGTTTTTGATCAATCAAACATTTTTTACGATTACTGAAAATGCAATGTGGTTCGAATTATGTACCCGGGAGTGTACTCGCTGTCTTTTACTGGGACACCTCTACCGTGTCAAACTAGAACACTGTAATATATACAACAGCATTTTGAGAAAAAGTGATGTAAAGGATCTTACGGTTTTTTGTGATTTTTGAGGTTAATGACATAAAAAGATATATTTAACAAACGTACATTATCCATTAAAGAAATATAGCTACTACAAATTTACTTTGGGAAATAAGGTATTTGTATGGAAAAACGATAAATTTATTTCCGCTTGATGACCCGCAAGATTATTGTTATTATGAAATTACAAAAACACTGTATGAGCCTTGCATTGCTTTGGTTTAACACTACAGACCTGACTGCCGCTTTTGCTTAAACTCGCATTTGTCATACTGGCCCGTTAAAATCTAATTACTTTAAACTTGAGCTTGTTAACCCGTTCATAGACAATACCGTTAAATTAAATATCAGTATGTGATACTACAGAGCACCCTTATTATCTCTGCAAATTCGTCTTAACACTAATTTTTGGGGTTAGTTCGTTATGCCCCTGTATGCCCCAGATTTTAATAAATTTTGGATCAACATTGTTTGTCAGATATATATTAAGTACTGTTAACAAGTAAAATGTTTCTGAATTTAATAATTTTATTTATATGTGCATGTGTGTAACATTTATGGCTTATATGTTGTTTTAAACTTGTATTGGTAAAATAGTATCTACCTACTAAAATGCTAATTATTCATTAACTTGTGAAAATAATAAAAGAAAACCTTAATTAAAATGATGACTATTAATAAATATTTGTCAGTTGCCAAAATTAGCACTGCTAAAGTTCATGTCATTTCAAATATTTTCATAGTGGCTAACATTACATACCTATCCAATTCTTTTTTTTTTTTTGTAAAAGAATTTTGATATTTGCCAGTACATTTTATTCAAAATAGCTTTGAATTACATTTATTACGAATTACATCGTACCTATCCCAAATCGGGGGCATACACCACGGGGGCATACCAAACCGGGGGCATAAGGAACGGACCATAATTGTTGAGTATTATATATACGAAATGGCGAAGATAAACAAAACGTAAGCAGTATAACAATGACTCACCGAATCCAATAGAGAGACGCATGCAATATACAAACCAGACGTTGACAATTTGCCAAATATTAAACGACTTATACAGTATTATAGAGTGCAATGTTAATTTCTACAGTCGAGTTTGATATTTTTATCGACAACTGTAAGTGTTATTTTCGTACAAATGATTATTAATAGTAAGGTTTTTCTCTCGAATATGATAAAGGCAGTGTCAATTTTACACGGGTCTTGATTATATTGAATTCGAGTAAATAACAATAACGCCTTGCATTGTCTCATATCGCGCCACCATTGTATGTACTTGTCTTATTTTCAGTGTGATATTAATATTGTCGAGAGTTATAACCATTTTATAGCATTGTATTTATATTTAAATAAAATACGTTGTTGGAGAAATAATTTGAATGAGAGACTCACCTGTCGCAGAGATCGCTGTCTCGTAATCTGCCCCATGTTCTAAGAAGTCTAAACCTGTAATTAAATTGTTATATACATCAGTATCTATGTTTAACATACGAAATATTTATATACTTTGTTTATTTATTTCACCATTACACTCAACTAAAACAATAGGTTTGCCTTCACTTTTACTTTCTTTAATAATTTGCAATTCCAATGTCATTTTGTTTACATTACTACTACTTATGGTAAATTAAGTATTTATGAAACGATAGTCTACTAGTTTTTGCAAACGACGTCCAATTGTTAAATATTTTTTTAAAGACAAAGAAAGCTATGTACCACATCGTAATGTGTCTTCATGCAACAGCAACAAAACAAATGTATGTAATTGGCACCTTACTTTGGCATGCGTTTGAACACATATTAATGATATATTATATCTAACATTCACGCTAATTACAACTGTAGCATATGCATTATATGATTGAAAATTGTGTGTATGTATTGTGTTTGACAGTTGAGATGCATTCCAGGATAGGTAGTTTGAAATACTTGTAGTGTATTGTCAGTAAGGCAATGCGTTTTAGTATTAAAAGACAGAGAAATCTACCCTCATTAACGGACTAACGAAGTAGGGTTGCCATTACAAAATTATTTATTCTTGACAGAAAGTACGACATTTAAATTGTATTTTTTTGTTTATTTAAGATAGTTTTTTCTAATTTACAAAGTGTCAGTCAGTCATTCCGAATAGATTAATCAATATAACAATTTGCTTCCTTTGATCTTGGGGCAGTTAAAACAATTTTACATAAGTACATCTAACCGAGCCAAATCGTAGTTTAATATACGGTATATGGTTTATATCCTCCACAGCAACATATACTGTTGTATTTGACCTCCATCTCACCTAAAGAAAAGTGACGATGAGGTCGACAATGGAGCATGTACTCCTAAATAACGCTTATTCTTTCTCGCCTTCAAAAGGCCCAAGTTACAGTATACAGAGAATCTGCGGATCGGGAATTCCACTCCATAGCTGTTCGTCCTATAAATGTAAGTGGAAGCAAAACGTTTCGTGTGAATCCTTACAATATCCACAACATAGGGGTGGAACCCTAGCCTACGTCTGATCCGGCGACGATGGAAAGGGGAAGGCGGAATTAAATCATGCTATTCCATTACATATTTTCCGTGGTATATTTACAATTGGGGTAAGATTATCCTCCATATGTTTGACAAGCTATAATATTTAGGAAATGAAACAATTTCAGAGAAATATTTGTATGGCCTACTTTATTTCTCTCGTGAGTTTGGGTGTAATTTGTGGTTGTCTATGTGAGTGTCCATGGAACCTGGGATACAGGGTTTCCCTATTGCGGGTTTATGAATGTGTGCGCGTTACTATATTATTATTATCATTATACGACTGATAGACTGTTAAGCGTGATTATGGGATCTGTAAAGGGCTCGAAACGATGGCTTGTTTGAAAAAACAAATATACGCGATTTAGAAAAAATAGTTTAATTTCCTATTTATAACAATCGCGAAAACCTCAGGGCTATATAACGTTATTATTTCTTAGAACAACTCATTAATACATCTGAAATTTGTTTCTGTGTATTTAGCACGATGAATTGTTTTTAGTTTACTATTACGCGTTATAATCATTAACAAACATCATAATTACTGAACAACGTTGTTTATTTTGTCGTTTTACCTGATAATATGACTAACTGTGACTTGCAGAAAAGATTATTAAAATTAACATGTTATTATTGTAATCAACTATAATAAAGTCCTTTACTGTGTCAAAGTAAAACTAGAGATATCATGTTACTTAATGAAGCATTCAAGTAAATGGACGTGTACGCAATGGCCGTAAATTGTCGGTTAAAGAACGTCAATCGACGAACAAGTCGTGCGCTTGATGGTAAACGACACACCTGTCCATAGCAGTTGCAATGCCATTCAAAGCTTTAAACAGCAAACGTCTGAGGGATGCTGCCACCATGCACGTCACCATGAGACATGAGTTGTTAAATCCCATGTTATCTGTAGGTTCACCAGCACCCTTAGCCTTTAAAACCGAAACGCAGTAAATAAAGCATTATTGCTTGGCGGTAGTAGTTCACTGGACGAACCCTTTTTTACAAGTTGCTCTACTGTTGCAAAATATTCCTACTGCTGTTACAAAAAGGTGCAACCAGTATTTTACCCGATGACTGCATTCGTAATAACAAGCTTAAAAAAATTGTGAATGCGAAATAAAACGTTGGTTCGTCAATTTTCCCGTACAAGATCTCATCGATTGGTGGTGCCATTGCACCAATTCTATAAGCGTCTAATTTGAATTGTAATTTGAATATCGTAATTTCATTCGAAGCATTGGCCGCATTGATGAGTTAAAAGATTTAGATGGCATTGGCAAATTACAGAAATTGACTAGTTGACGAAAATGGAGTATTAACGAAAATGGCGAAGGGTAGGCCCCTAATGCATTCCAACATGCAATCCTCAATAGCATCGTCGTACGGGCCTTGACCAGCGCTAAGATACCGGCAGTTCTCGAGGCCATTGGCATCTGTCGCAGTGACGGTATGACTGTCGGTCCAGGGACGCTACGGAGACTGCTAGTGTTGGACGCAACCTGTGTAGATACTGTAGCCCCCTCCCATGTCCTTGCAAACGTGGGCGGTCGAGAACCGCAACCCTGGGTGCCACAGGCGAAACCTTGCCTCGTAGAATCCTCCGGTGACACAAGGATGGCAGTTATTTCCGCCAAAGAATAAGTTTAGCAATGCAAAGGGGAAATGTTGCCTTCTGGGCACGATGCCTCAGGATATGGCCCACGAGGAAATTTTCTATTTATAAACTTTCTTACTTTTTTTATGTATCTACCTCCTGCTATAATATAGTATAACACTATCGTATTAAAACAAACAATGTATTTGAATTTCACAATATAGAATTTGGATTCTCTCTGCATATTTTTTCTTGTTTTCCTGTTATTTCGTGAAAGATATGTCGTTTATTTATAGTTTGAAGGCATCCACCAATGCACTTATCTGTGTTTAACTTGAAAAATACATCAATGCAAGGTCATGAACCAATTTTCGAGATAATCAATGAGGAATTCGTCACGCTTATCATTCCATTTACCAAATAAAACAGAAACATTACGAAATCATGGAAATATAAACAGCGTTAGTCATTATTTATAAGTACTTCGTCGCTAGATAAAAGTGGTTTTTCCGAAAAATTTCCACATATCCAAACTGGAGTGTGTGATGACTTTGAATAAGATAAACAAAACTAGGCAGTAGTAGGTGGTTTTTGTTACCTATTTCTCAATTATCAATATATCTATAGGTTTGCAATTTCTCGTAGATTCCATAGATTTTTGTTTATATTTATATTATAATTTATTTATTTGATAAATTTCTTACAGACAAATTTCTTGAAACTTTAAGCTTGCGACATTGAATTTTGGGTAAGATATCTGTATTTGATATAGACAATTAATTATCTGTATTTCAGACATCAGCGCTCATTCATGAATACAACAACATATGGCTTATAACCAACCCATGTATATACGTCTGACAGCTGAGCACTCGTCTCTTTTTTATAATACCAAGTGACGGGACGAACAAACCGTGAGCCTGGTGGTAAGCGACACGCCTATCCATAACAGTTGCAGTGCTACTCAGAGCTTTTGAGCTTTTTTGTATATATTTTATATAGTCTTTTTAGGATTAGTTTTATATCTAAATTCTAAATTTAAATGTGATCATTATTAGTACAAAGATCGAACACTTAGAAAAAATTCTTGTTGCCGGATCTTTGTATTTGTTGCAACGACTTTTTAGCCGTAGCGCCATCTATGAGAGACCTATGAAAGTATTTCGTGAAGTAAAATAATTGAATATCATGGTGGTTAAACATCCTGACATTAAAAAAAAAAACTAATTAAGTGGGATAGTTTTTGGCGCCTTTTCTTATTATTGTTTCTATTTTTGGATTGATAGCTGTACGTGTTTTGTAATAAATTAATTAAAGTACATTTACTTTGGTCTTGTTCACTCGTTGATAGCACCCATCCGAACCCACTGATACAGTCCGCTACATATTTACCTTTACCCTTAGAATAATAACGCATAGAATGATATTTTCATATCAAACGAACTGTCACAAGTGAGGCAAAAATCTAATTCATGTAGGCTAGTTTTAGTAGTAGGTTAATTTTCGGTTTTAGTGAATATTTATATAAAAATACAAGTTGAAACGCGTTACTTCCTTGTGGAAAATAATTTTAGTATCTATTTTATGTTTGTCTGACGTATTTTTACACTCATTTACCGCACATTTCGTCATTTTTAGCTAAAATTCTTGAGCTGTTCGCGGTGCAAGTTGACCTTGAGCACTGAAGGCCCGCCCGCTCGTGTAGGCCCGTTGGGCGGGCTTCAATTTGCCTCACTTAGCGTGTGCGGATTAGGTTTCTATGCGTTATTATTCTAAGCCTTTACCCTTCAAAACAGGAACGTAATGCTCATAGTACTGCTTGGAGGTAGAAATAGGTAAGGCACTTCCCTGGACGAACCCATTCACAAAGCGCTCTATTGCTACTAAAAAATAGAGTTCTACATCCTATTTATCATTATATTTCACTACAATCTCGATTTTTTGTGAAAAATCGATGGACAAATAAGTTGAGTGCTTTGGAATCAGAATAACACTATAAAGTGTAAATCGTTTACAATAGGCAAAAGGTATTTACTTTTATCTTCAAGCTTCCACTTGACAGGTTATGTCATCTCCTCATATCAAGTATTGGAACAAAACGATATCAGTTGTTTACCGCTCTTGCCAGATTAGTGATCAGATCAGACACTTGACCGGTTTAGTATGTCAAATGATTATTAGAAAGCCGATTGTGTTACATAAATTACCTTGTTGCTAGATAAATTTGTTAAGATTAAACTAAAAGTAATCTAGGATGATCCCTGTTACAGTTCATAAAAATCTACACAATATAATCTTGTAACGACATTCTGTAATTTACGCA